GCCACATCCCTCAACACAAGGGATGAATGTGGGAAGAAACTCCACAGAGTCCCTTGGGACCCTGGCCCTTCTCTTATACTTCAGGTGCGGTGAAGATCACCCCTGCACATGACCAGAATGACTATGAGGTTGGGCAGCGTCATGGGCTGGAGGCCATCAGTATCATGGATTCCCATGGGGCTTTTGTCAATGTACCCCCACCTTTCCTGGTGAGGCTGCCTGGGGTGTGGTGTCCCTGGTTGAGGGAAGTTGGGGAATGCCTAGGCATCACCATGATGAGGCCTTTTTCCTACTCAGGGCCTGCCCAGATTTGAGGCCAGGAAGGCAGTTCTGGCAGCACTGAAAGAGCAAGGACTGTTTCGTGGCATTGAGGACAACCCCATGGTGGTGCCACTTTGCAAGTGAGGGTGGGGACCAGGTATGGTGGGAAGTGGGGAGCTCCTTCAGGTGCTCACTGCTTGGCCTCCTCACCTCACTTGCACTCCCAGCCGTTCCAAGGATGTAGTGGAGCCTCTGCTAAGGCCACAGTGGTATGTGCGCTGCGGGGAGATGGCCCAGGCTGCCAGTGCTGCTGTGACCCGGGGAGACCTCCGCATTCTGCCTGAGACCCATCAACGAACGTGGCATTCCTGGATGGACAATATCCGGTGTGTAGGGCCCCTCAGTGTGAGGTAGCTGGCTGAGGAACATGGGAAGGGACACTTGCAGGCCTCCCTGACACTTTCCCCACTACTGGCCATTTGCAGGGACTGGTGCATTTCCCGGCAATTGTGGTGGGGCCATCGCATCCCAGCCTACTTCATCACTGTCAATGACCCAGCGGTACCTCCTGGGGAGGTAAGGATGGGCCAGAGCTAGGTGCCTGGGGAACTGGGTTTGTTGGGCCCTGGGTTGGGGAGTGGTTGGGGCAAGGCAGAAACACCCCATGGGAACTCATTCCGCCTTTGGCAGGACCCCGATGGGCGGTACTGGGTGAGTGGACGCAGTGAGGAGGAGGCCCGAGAAAAAGCAGCCAAGGAGTTTGGAGTGTCATCTGATAAGATTAGCCTCCAGCAAGGCAAGAAGGGGCCTTAGGGGTGAGTTGGCAGAGCTGGAGCTCTGACCCTTAGGTCCATTTCCTCTGACCTCTGACGTTTGGCTTCCCTCAGATGAGGATGTATTGGACACCTGGTTCTCTTCCGGCCTCTTCCCCTTCTCCATCTTGGGCTGGCCCAACCAGGTGTGTTCCTGGGGCTAGACTAGGGTGGGTTGTGGTCTTGAAAGAGAGGGTACTTGACTCTCGTTCACACCTTGGTCTGCCCGCAGTCAGAAGATTTGAGTGTGTTCTACCCGGGGACTCTGCTGGAGACGGGTCACGACATCCTCTTCTTCTGGGTGGCTCGAATGGTCATGCTTGGCCTGAAACTTACCGGCAGGCTGCCTTTCAGAGAGGTGTGAAGATGGCCAAGACCCTCCCACTTTCCTCCCTCCTCTCCTGCCCCTTTATGCTGCAGCTCAGGCTCTGCCCAGACAGCTGTGGATGGGCCTGGTCCCAATGGGTGGGGTCGAAATCCAGCCTGGGCTCCACTTAGTGATTTCTGTGCTTTGGCTTAGGGCTTTCTCTTTCCAGAGGAGAAAGAGCTTCTACTGATTTATTTGCTGAATGAGCTGATGGGGATAACTCAGTGGGATCTAAGGTGGGGCAGACCCTGGTAGGGGGCATTGATGCTATGAGAGGGACTGAACCTCACTGTTCTTCTTGCCTCCTGCCTGTCAGGTCTACCTCCATGCCATTGTGCGTGATGCTCATGGACGAAAGATGAGCAAGTCTCTAGGCAATGTCATTGACCCCCTGGATGTCATCCACGGAGTCTCCCTGCAGGTAGGACTGGGTCTTGGACCATTGGGAATAATTAGCTCTGGGGCCGTGGCCACAGCTATCTAACTATTTCTCCTCCATTGTCAGGGCCTCCATGACCAATTACTGAACAGCAACCTGGACCCTAGTGAGGTGGAGAAGGCCAAGGAAGGGCAGGTACAGAAGGCAGGGCCCTGGGGTGGAGCCTGAGTAGAATGTGGGCAGGGCTGACAGGAGGCTCCTCCATCTGCCTCCTCCTACAGAAGGCAGACTTTCCCATGGGGATTCCTGAGTGTGGCACTGATGCTCTCCGGTTTGGACTCTGCGCTTACACATCCCAGGGTATGGCCTTCATGCCTCCTTCCCAGAGGCCCACTCTCTCCTGTGCCCTGGGCTTCTGGAGAGCCTGGGCCAAGAAGGAGAATGGTGAGGACTCTCATTTTATCCCTCACCTAGGTCGTGACATCAACCTTGATGTGAACCGAATATTGGGTTACCGCCACTTCTGCAACAAGCTCTGGAATGCCACCAAGTTTGCTCTCCGAGGCCTTGGGAAGGGTTTTGTGCCCTCACCTACCTCCAAGGTGAGGGCCTGATGGGCAGTGAATACGCACCCACATAGACTATGCCCCTTTCCCTCAGCTATCAAGCATAGTTGTGCGAGGATTGCAGCTGTAGGATCAGGAACCCAAGCCCCAGTCCCTGAGGGTCCTCTATGTAGCTAGGGAACAGAGACAGATAGATAGTAACAGGTATTAGGGTCATCCCTGAGGTGGCTGGAAACCTGTTTGTTTTTCCCAGACACTGGGCACATGCTCAGTTACTTCTGGAATGGAGACTTACCATGATTCCTACCATTGTGGGGTTCAGGCTCCTCCCTCCATATGGTGGCTTGCTGGCTGATATACCCCTTTCCCCTAAGCCTGGAGGCCACGAGAGCCTGGTAGACCGCTGGATCCGCAGTCGGCTGGCTGAGGCTGTGAGGCTCAGCAATGAAGGTTTCCAGGCCTATGATTTCCCAGCTGTCACCACCGCCCAGTATAGCTTCTGGCTCTATGAGCTCTGTGATGTCTACTTGGTAAGAAGAAACTGAGGTGGGGTAGGGCATGGGGGTTGCTGAACTCTGGGCCCAGCTCTGTCACTGGTTGGTTGTGAGATCTAAGCCAACCCATTCCTTTGCCAGTCCTTATAGTCACGTGAGGGCTTGAGGCTCGATCTCCAATCTGAGCTTTGTACCTCCCTATCCCCTAGGAGTGCCTAAAACCTGTCCTGAATGGAGTGGACCAGGTGGCAGCTGAATGTGCCCGCCAGACCCTTTACACCTGCCTAGATGTTGGCCTGCGGCTGCTCTCACCCTTCATGCCCTTTGTGACAGAGGAACTCTACCAGAGGCTGCCCCGGCGGACCCCACAAGCTCCAGCTAGTCTTTGTGTTACCCCCTACCCAGAGCCTGCAGAGGTATGGGGTATGGTCTGGAGGGGACTCGAGCTCACTCCCAGGCCTCCCTCACCTCCTCCTCCATCCCACAGTGCTCCTGGAAAGACCCTGAGGCAGAAGCTGCCCTTGAGCTGGCGCTAAGCATCACCCGAGTTGTGCGCTCCCTGCGTGCAGACTACAACCTAACCCGGATCCGGCCCGACTGTGAGCCTCAGGCCCTTATGTCTACCTTGCCCCACTGTCCCCAGCCCACTCTAGGAAACCAGTGTCCAGCTGTGGCTGTCTAGTCTCCTGTCTCCTCGTGGCCAGATCTCACCTTCCTTTCTCCCTTGTAGGTTTCCTGGAAGTGGCTGATGAGGCCACAGGCACTCTTGCATCGGCAGTGTCAGGCTACGTGCAGACACTAGCCAGTGCGGGTGTGGTGGCTGTCCTGGCGTTGGGGGCTCCTGCACCACAAGGCTGCGCAGTGGCCCTGGCCTCTGACCGATGCTCAATCCACCTGCAGCTGCAGGGCCTGGTGGACCCAGCCCGGGAGCTGGGCAAGCTGCAGGCTAAGCGAAGTGAGGCCCAACGGCAGGCCCAGCGTCTGCGGGAGCGACGTTCTACCTCGGGCTACTCTGTCAAGGTGCCCCTCGAAGTCCAGGAGGCAGACGAAGCCAAGGTTTGTGGTGTGGGTGGGCATTTCCCACACCGTCAGCTCCATCTATCCCCAGGCCCCTTGAGCAGTGACCATGCAGCCCCCTCCCTATATACATAAGAAACCGCTGTGGGTAAAGGACCCAATGCAAGGTTACATGGCAGGTTGGAGAGAGAGGCAGACTTAGAATCAGGCATCCTGTTTCCCAGTTAGACCCCCAGCTCCCAGAATGTAGAAACCCACATTCCACATGGGGTTGGATTTGGCACCCACGTGCAGTAAGGAGCCCCAGGTCTAGCACCTACTTCTACTTCTGTAGCTCACTGGGCTGACCTCAGAAAGTCAGGATCATCTCCTGGTGTGAAGCCCCTCTGCAGACCCTCTGCAGCTAAGATCCCTCCAGGGAACGGCAGTGGGTAAACTACATAGACCAGAGAAAAACAGTCCTGAACCTAAGAGCAAGGGTGTTGGCTGACAGGTTTATCTCACTCAACTCATTCAGCACTCTCTGAATAGGCAGCATTACCATTTGGGTTACCGCCGCCGACAGGTAACATGATTTCCTGTCAGCCTGTGCTTTCCTGCCTGGGTGAGGGTGCTGAACAGGGTGTGTGGGCTCTGAATCCCTTCAACCTTGGTTACTAAGGACTATAAGAAAAGGGAAGATCTACGTGGCAGGGTCCTGGTGGAAGAGAGTGGGGAGGTGCTGGTGGGAAGACTGGAATTGGGGAGAAGGTGACAGCCAAGCACATAGTCCTGGAACTGCTCCCTGCTAGTGATTCTCACCCATCTTTCCAGCTTGAACCCCTTTGCTATCCTGGTGTTCAGGTCTTCTCCTTGGGCCTGGGTCCTCACCTCTTCCCCTCATTCCATCTCTAGCTCCAACAGACAGAGGCAGAGCTCAGGAAGATGGATGAGGCCATCACCCTATTCCAGAAGATGCTGTGACACCCAACTTCAATCCTCACAGCCCACCATGGGATGGCAGCAATAAAATATTTTGCCACAAACTCATCTCTTATCTGTGAATGTGGTGGGGGTGGGAGTGGGTGCAGAGGGCTGGGTTCCTAAGGCCTCAAAAACTGCTGGCGTAGCTGCAGGCTGGGATCCAGGCAGGTCCTGGTGGGCAGAAGGGTGCGTCTGGGTCTGTCCTTGGCACCTCGCCAGGCCTGAGTCATGCTGCTTGCTCCCTTCCTCCTTCCCAGCTCTTCTCACCTCCGCACTGCAGCTGGAGAAAGCCAGCACTGGTGCCGCCCTGCTGCCGGCCTCTGCTTGTGGCCCTGGGCAGGTCATGAGTAGAGGGCCAGGGGCTGTCTGTCCTGCCCCCTGGCTCCTGGGGCCTCCTTCCCCCTCCACAGAGGCCTGGTTAATTATAACTCTGACCTAAGTGCCCTGTGACGCCACACCCAAGCTAGTCCTGCTCAGGAGACCCAGCAACCAGGTAGGGGAGAGGCCTGAGAGGAGATTCTGATTTCTTATGCATGGGGGTGTTCCTGGGGCAGGGCTGGGAACTTGGTTGGGACTGTGAGAGAACCTGGGGAAGGAGCTTTGGACCCCATTCCTTTCAGATCTATGGGTTTGATAAGGCCCTCAGGCTATCTGGGTGACAGTGGGGAAGCCAGCCTGGAGCAAATGAGGCATTTAGCCAAAATGAAAGGAGGTGACTAAAGCAGGTGCCTGTGGAGACAAATAAACAAAACAGAACAATCAGATTTGCTGTTTCCTCCTCCCTTGAGAGCCTTCTGTCCCCTAGGTCCATGTTTCAGCCATGCTCTCTGCAGAGGTGCCCCTGTCCCACTTGGGCCCCTCAGTGCTGCTTCTGCTACAACTGCTGCTGCCCCCCACTTCGGCCTTTTTTCCTAACATCTGGAGCCTCCTGGCTGCCCCTGGCTCCATCACCCACCAGGACCTGACTGAGGAGGCTGCACTCAATGTCACCCTGCAGCTCTTCCTGGAGCAGCCGCCACCCAACCAGCCCCCACTTCGTCTAGAGGACTACTTGGTAAGCATCCCCAGGGCCCCTCACATTCCTGCTAGATTCCCCAGTTCTCTGGGACTTCTGCTCCCTGAGGACCTTGGTCACAAGAGAAGGGACACTGTTCATTCCCCACTCCACCTGTTCACCTCCCCATTCCACCTCCTTGCAGCAACAATACCTAGTAGTCCTGGTCCTGAAGTTGGGAATCCCCCGTCAGGGAGGTCCAAGGCTACCCACTTTCTCCTCAGGCCCAGTGCTCTCTAATCCACCTATACCAGCCTTGAGCGACAGTGCTGACAATGTGGGCAATAATCCAATCCTAGGGGCTTCCCTGGAGCCCCTGTCCCCTACCACTTTCACCAGGGCCGAACCCTTCTTGCTGACGACCTCTTTGCCGCTTACTTTGGACCTGGGTTTCCTTCCCGGCGGTTCCGAGCAGCCTTAGGCGAGGTGTCCCGTGCCAATGCAGCCCAGGACTTCCTGCCAACTTCCAGGAATGACCCTGACCTGCACTTTGATGCTGAGCATCTGAGTCAGGGACGCACCCACTTGATGGGGGCTTTGCAGGAGACATTGGTGGCAGCCAGAGCCCTTGACCACACACTGGCCCGCCAACGCCTTGGGGCTGCGCTTCATGCCTTGCAGGTGAGACAGAGTGGGGGGAATGGCCAGAGGGGTCTTTAGTTTTCCTTTCCTGGTGGACCCTGACCTTAAACATGCCTTGTCTTTCCTTACTCTAGAGGGGTGGGGCACTGTTTGCCAGCACCTGAGGCTCTTTCCTACTTTCCAAACCAGTAGTGTTTCCTGGGGGGCCACTATGGCTGGAGAAAAGGGAGGGAGAGGATAGTAACAAGTGGGAGAGGTGAGGGAGGGCAGCTCATCTGTGTGCAGGACCCAGTGGGCCACTGAGAAGCCTTTGGCTTAGACCCCCAAGATGGGAAGATGGGTGGCCCTCCTCCTCCAAAGCTCTGTTCTGGAGAGAAGAACAGTGGAGGGTGTCTCACAGAAATAGTGGGGTGGGAGGAGACTTTCTGGATGGGAATTTGAAGGAGTGGCATGTTAGAGCTGGATTTCATGACAAGATCAGACCAGTGCTTTGTTCCCTATCTTTTTTCCCCGGGGACCAGGATTTCTACAGTCACAGCAACTGGGTAGAACTGGGGGAGCAGCAGCCACACCCTCACCTCCTCTGGCCACGGCAAGAGCTCTGGAGCCTGGCACAAGGTATGGCCACGACTTTGTGGTAAAGTGGGAGCTCACAGAGCCACCACCTCTCAGTCCACCCTGTGTCATGTCCTGAGGTCATATAGGATAAGATGTCATTTCATCTCTGCAAGGATTCTGAGGTCCCCTAGTTCAACTAAAGACCAGGTCAGTTAAGTGGCTTCGCCAGGGTCACATGGGAGAACAGCCAGGACCAGATCTGTAGACCTTAGACTGATCTTTCATGTGGCTTGCTCCTCCACCCCCAGTGACTCCCATGACCTCTCATAATCCCCCTCAGCCTCTCAGCTAAACTAGGACCCAGAAGCTTCCTCCTGTTCATTATAAGTTTCCTTCCTCACTATAGCTCACATAAGACAGAATCCTCATACAGTTGATTCTAACACTTCCTGAGTTTTCTAGCACAGCCCCAGTTTCAAACATCCAGTCCTGCTACCAGCCTTGAACTCCAGAATATCTAACCAGGGTCCCTTTTACCTTATTCCAACCCAGAGCAAGGACTGAAGTTGGGTGGGCAAGGATAAAGTCCTGGGGTAACTGAGGCTTGGTTCTAGCCCCTGTCTTCTTTTCCCAGTGGGCAATCCTACCTGTGCTGATTGTGAGGAACTGAGCTGCCCCGGGAATTTGCTGGGCTTCACACTCCTCACCTCTGGCTACTTTGGAACTCATCCCCCGAAACCTCCAGGTACCAGAAAAGAAAGATTCCCAAAAGTAAAGGGAGAAAGTCATTTCCTTTGAACACTCACACAGGATTTTAGTCCTGTAGGCCTTTGCCCCATCTGCTGTGGCATTACTTCTTAGGAAAGGTTATTGGGAATGGGATGGGTGGATGAAGGCCCACTGAAGAGGCCATGATCTTTGAGTGGGGAGCAGCTTCTTGCTCCACTTATAGGATTTTTCTTTTGCCTATGGGCAGTGTTGGGAGACTGGCTGGAGGAATCTGGGGATCTGTCATGTGATTAACCCCTCCATGTTTATTCTAGGTTTGCTTCTACAGTGCTTATGCTTTGGTAAGGGCTTAGAGGGTCACATCAAGTCTGACGTCCTCCATTTTCTTAGGAGGCAGTGGGACTTTTTTAAACCTCCACCCTCCAGATCTCTTTCCCCAACCCAGGAAAATGTAGCCATGGAGGCCATTTTGACCAGAGCAGCTCCCAGCCACCCCGGGGTGGCATCAACAAGGATAGCACGTCCCCAGGATTCTCCCCCCACCACATGCTGCATCTCCAGGCTGCAAAACTGGCCCTTCTAGCCTCCATCCAGGCCTTTAGCCTCCTGAGAAGCCGCCTGGGAGACAGCTGTTTCTCCAGGTTAGTGGCCTCCTAGAGGTGGGTCCCCTGATGGGTTGGTGCTCCTGGGAGAACTGAAAAACTAGAGGCTGTGGACAAATATGCAGATCCTTCACTGTATTTTTGGCCTGCTCCCCAGGCTGCTGGACATCACCCCAGCCTCTAGCCTGAGCTTTGTCCTGGATACCACTGGCAGCATGGGTGAGGAGATCAATGCTGCCAAAATCCAAACTCGCCACATCATGGAGCAGCGGCAGGGCAGTCCCATGGAGCCTGTCCACTACATTCTGGTGCCTTTCCATGACCCAGGTAACTGGGGTCTGGCCAGGGTAGTGGAGAGAAGGAAAGTCCAGGGCAAGGGATAAAGACCTCTGATGAGGAAGTGGTCTTCATAGTAACTCTTCCTGAATGAACCTCTATGGGATACTTATGCCACTTCTGTTTCCAAAATTGCAACATTCTACATAAGTCTAATGTACAATCCATGCTTAGGCCTTCTTTACCTTTCTTGCTAATAAGTCATTTTCGACTGTCTATTTCCTACAGACAAAGATTGGGATGAAGATGAGGGGTTGGTGGATCTGTTCCTTTGGGAAGTATCTGAGATATCTAGTTATATTCTGTTTTTTTTTTTTTGTTTGTTTTGTTTTTTTTTTTCGCTACTGAACTAGAAGTCTGCCCATCAGGCCTGGGTCTACCAGTCTTACTGTGTTCTTGGGCTGGCCATTTAACCTCCCTTGGCCTCAATTTAATCATCCATAAAGTAGATTTCAACCATACTTTATCCTATCTAACTCCCAGAGTTAATGACCAAATAAAGTGTCTCCTGGGGGGGTCTAGGTTTTTAGCTCCATAGTAGAGCACTTGTCCAGCCTGCATGAAACCCTAGGTTCAATACCATCACTTAAAAAAAAGTATTATAGATACATAACATATACATTTATGCCTCCTAAACTGAGAATTCCCTAAAGGGAAAGTTTGTCTTTTTTCCTTATAAGTCTTATAGTGACTGGCATTTAATAGGGACTTATTACATGTTTGATGAAGGTAGAATAAATGAATAAGATTTTAGCACTACATCCAGGCACTATTCTAAGATTTACAAAATCAATTCATACAGTCCGCTTAATAAGTTTGTGAGGTAAATACTATTATTTTCTCTGGCTTTTCTGATGAGGAAACTGAGGACCTAGGTTTTTTTTTTTTTTTTTTTTTTTTTTTATGCAGGCACATGTATCCATTAAAGGTCCACTCAAGATCACAGGAAGTGCCACCATTTTAAGGGAGTGGAGACCCACTTTCCCTGCCAGACCCTGCCCTTCTCTTCTGATGAGTATAAGAAGTCATATAGGGCTGGGGTGTGACTCAGTAGTAGAGTGCTCACCTTGCATGTGTGAAGCCCTGGGTTTGATCCCCAGCACCACATAAAAATAACTAAATTAAATAAAGGTATCATGTCCATCTACAACTAAAAAAAATTTTTTTTAAGTCATATAAATAAAAAAGAATAATCTTTTTTTTTTTTTTTTTGGTACCAGTGATTAAACCCAGGGTTACTTAACCACTAAGTCACATCCCTAGCCCTTTTTTACATTTTATTTAGAATTAGAAGCAAGGTCTCACTGAGTTGCTTAGGGCATCGCGAAGTTGCTGAGGCTGGCTTTGAACTTGCAATCCTCCTGCCTCCACCTCTCTAGCCACTGGGATTACAGGTGTACGCCACTGCACCCTGCTTTCCTTTCTTTCTTTCTTACTGGGGATTGGACCCAGGGCCTCATGCATGCTAGGCAAGGAATATTGTTATTTCAATATTTGTCTACCCCAGGAGCACAGCAGGCCTCTACTGGAATGTGGGCCAGGGTAGGAATAAGGGGAGCTCTTTTCCTACTCACCTCAAAGTCCTTTCTTCCTACCCAGGGTTTGGCCCTGTCTTTACAACCAGTGATCCTCACAGCTTCTGGCAGCGACTAAATGAGATCCACGCCTTGGGGGGTGGAGATGAGCCTGAGATGTGCCTATCTGCCCTGGAGGTCTGACCCTTCCCTTTCTCTTCCCCTTCCCACTTGTCCTGCCTTTTCCAGACCCTGCCACCAGAGGGAGATAGAGCTAGAATTCTCCCCAGTCTCTTCCACTGGACCCCTTCAGAACCTAGCTCTGCTAGCCTCACTCCAAGGTTCCAGGGTCATATTCCTTTCTACTCTGTCCTCCCTGGCTCTGTCAACTCCCTGCTGCTGCAATTCTTAACACTAGCCCTTTTCCTCCCTGGCAGCTAGCCCTGCTGCACACACCTCCACTTTCAGACATCTTTGTCTTCACTGATGCCTCCCCCAAGGATGCCTTTCTCACCAACCGGGTGGAATCCCTGAGTCAGGAGCGTCGGTGCAGGGTGAGCACAGCTGGTGGGAGACCCAGTGATAGCCACCCAAGAATAGAGAGACCCTATGACAATAACCTCATAACAACAGTGACACAACACTATGGTGGTCAAACTAGCCACACCTTTAGCAATAGTCCTATCCTTAATACTGCTGAATTCATATTTGAACCAGCACAGTAAAGTATTTAAAGAACTGGAAAACTAGTTGCTAAAATTCCACCATGAAACGTGGTGGTTACAAAGGGGCAGCCAACTATTGAGGGTCAGAGGGTTGCATCATTAGGAGACTGGAAGCAGCTGGAGTATAGACAGAAAGATTTTATCACTAATCATCAATCTGGAGAAATTCTGAGCAGAAAGGATCCTTATTTATAATACCAGATGGCACTTGGACACCCCAAGCATTGGACTGTCTTCTGGCCACAGGTGACATTCCTGGTGACTGAAGACCCATCAAGGGTTCAGGGTCGAGCTCGGCGTGAGGTCCTATCCCCTGTGCGTTTTGAGCCATATGAAGCAGTGGCCCTGGCCTCAGGAGGAGAGGTGATCTTCACCAAAGACCAGCACATTCGGGACGTGGCAGCCATTGTTGGGGAGAGCATGGCTGCTCTGGTAAGTAGATGCCAGAGGGCCTGGTGCCCTCTGTTCTGGGCTGAGAAGTGTGGTGCTGCTTCTCACTTAAACTTTGTTGCCATTCATTCAGAAGTGTGGACAAGGAAGTTTCTTTCCTTCTGAGATCCATGGCTGTCTTTTTTCCACATTGCCTTTTCAGATTAGTAAACCTCCCTTCCATATGGCTTCCAGTGCCTCAGGGCTGTCACAGAAAGTCCTTCCATCTTTTTTTTTTTTTTTTTTTGGTGGTGCTAGAGATTGAACCCAGGGCCTTGTGCATGTGCACTCTACCAACTGAGCTATATTCCCAGCCCAGTCCTTCTTCCATATTTTAAGGGCAAACAAGTAGTGACTGCCTCATTCTGAACTCTCACCTCCAGCTTTGTTGTTGAACATAATAACTTCCCCTCATTAGTATTCCTTCTCCTTGTGTGACTTGGTGTCTTTCTGTCTCTGCCTTTCTCTTTTGTTCCTACTCATTCCATGCCTTACTTTCTCCCCTACATTTTGGTCCTGTCCATTCCCCCAAGGTGACTCTTCCTCTGGAACCGCCTGTCATAGTGCCTGGCAAGCCACTTGTGTTCATTGTTGATGGGCTGCTCCAGAAGGTCACAGTCCGGATGCATGGGGAGATCAGCAGCTTCTGGATCAAGAACCCTGCTGGTACCTCTGTGTGTGGTTCAAGGCAGAGAGAACAATGTAGATGGAGAATGGAGAACTAGGGGGGATGTGCTAAATACAGGGCTTGTTTCATATGACAATCTATTATCCCCATCCCAGGAATATTCCAGAGCCAGGAAGAAGGTATGGGTCCTTTGGGTCATACTCACCGCTTTGGGCAGTTCTGGATGGTGACCATGACTGACCCCCCACAGGCAGGGACTTGGGAGATCCAGGTCACAGCTGAGGGCACCCCCCGGGTAAGAGTGCAAGGTAAGGAGGGAGATGTTCTTGGGAAGGGAAGGGAAGTTCTCTCAGGGCTCAGAGAACAATCTGAGGCACATTCCTCTCAGGAACCTCTCTGACTGCCTTCACCCTCCCCCAGCCCAGACCTCCCTGGACTTCCTCTTTCACTTTGGTATTCCCATGGAGGATGGACCCCACCCTGGCCTTTACCCTCTGACTCAGCCCGTTGCAGGTACATCTATTCCCTGTCTACCCCCAACTCAAGTACATTATGTGTGTAAATGTATGTGTATGTATGTGTAAGCATGTATACTTATATAAATATACATACATGTGTACACAGACATACACAGACATACATGGACACATTATATACACATTTTTATTGAGTAAAGAGCCATAACTAAGTGTACAGCTTTGTGGATTCTGTATAATACACCATGTGACCTCCCCTTCTTTCCCTTCCTGTCTCAGGTCTCCAGACCCAGCTGCTGGTAGAAGTGACAGGGCTGGGTTCGAGAGGCAACCCTGGGGATTCTCCCCCACATTTCTCTCATGTCATCCTCAGAAGGGTTCCAGAGGGCACCAAGCTGGGTCAGGTGCCCTTGGAGCCCTTGGGACCCCCAGAGCGAGGTCTCCTCACAGCTTCACTGCCACCTACATTGCTGACCACCCCCGGACCCTTCTCCCTGGAGCTGATTGGCCAGGATGGAGGTGGGCAGGGCCTGCACCGGATTGCCCCCCAGCCTTGCACTGTGGCCCCTGTGCTTCTGGAGGTGAGACCTCAGGGGAAGGTCCCGGCTTAGGTTGGTGAGAACTTACGGGCTTCTCCCCTGACTGGCCTCTCTCTGTAGCTCAGTGGTCCCCCAGGTTTCTTGGCCCCAGGCAGCAAGGCCCTGCTCACCCTCCGCATCACCAGCTTCTCAGTCCCTCAGGATCTTGATATTAGGATATCTGTCAACCCCAGCTTTGCATTCACCTCCAACCTCTCAAGGTGAGTCCTCTGAACCCTCCTGCTGGGTTCTGGCCCCACCTGTTGGTTCTAGGGGTGTGGCCCCACGCTCTTCATTCCAAACCCTGCCCCTGAGCCCTTCCCATTAGCCCTGAGAGTTCCCCATCCTCTTTCCTGCTCTTGGCTCACACCTAGACTCTCAGCCATTGGGAGCTTTCCTTGGGGCTTTAAGCCCCATGTTCCTAACCACTCTCAAGGGCTCATCTGGGGCTGAATGAATCCACCTGGGGGTGCCTGTGGCTGGAAGTCCCAGACTCAGCAGCCCTGGACTCCATGGTGATGGTGACTGTGACTGCCTTGGGTCGAGAAGTCAGCCTAATGCCTCCGACCCATGCCTTCCTCCGGCTCCTGGTACTGGCTCAGACCCCGCAGGTGAGGTGCTTTCACCTTCTATCTGAGGAGAAGCAGGGCAAGAGGAGGGCAGTATAGTTTTAATTTGGACAAAGCTCTAGCACACCTGACCTTCCCTTCCTCTCCTCTCAGGACCAGCTCTCTGCCTCATCTGGGCCTGTTGTCACCACCACCACTCCTGTTTTTCGTTCCTCCACTCTGGTGACTCAGGGAAGGGCTAGGGGAGGGAAGGCAGGCAGACCCTGGTGGGGTACTGTGGGAGGTGTACTACTTCTGCTAACCCTGGCCTCCTGGTGACAAAACAGCACCTAGAGGAATGAGTCTCTAGCTTTTCAACCTGCCCCACTGGTGAAACCATGAGATAGGCCTCAGGACTTTATTTCTCCCAGCTGGATGGGTGTTTTCTTTCTCTGGCCCTTGTCCCTTCTCTTTCTTTTGCACTGTTGGGGACTGAACTCATGGCCTCAGGCATGCTAGGCAAATGCTCTACCACTGAGCCCCAGCCCTTTCTATTTTTTATTTTGACAGGGTCTTGCTAAGTTGCCCAGGCTGGCCTCAAACTTGTGATCCTACTACATCAGCCTCCTAAGTAGCTAGGATTACAAGCATGGGCCACTGCATCAGGTTCCTTTTCTTAAACATCATGTTTTCAGTGGTTAGAGCACTTGCTTAGCATGGTCAAGGCCCTGGGTTCCATACCTAGCACTCCAAAAACAAAAAACACCAAGATTGGGATAGAAGGCAGTGGATTTCCTGGCAATGCACTTTCTATAACCCTTGTGGGAATGAAACCAAAAAGATATATATATATATATATATATATATATTTTTTTTTTTTTTTTTTTTGAGAAAGTTGATCTCTATTTCTCTGTAGCATCTAGAGCATTAACTAGTCATGCTCTCCCAGGCTCAGGTAGATAGATATGTGGGGAGGAGACTAGTTTTGGAAGGAAGTAAGTGCCAGGAAGCATTATTTATAGAGTTGTTTTTATTTTAAACTCTGGAGCAGCTTCTATTTTATTTTTTCTATTCAAAACTGAAGGATGGTTTCAATGAACATGCCTTTTCCCCTAAGGGATTTCAAAGAAAGATCATTTTTGCATATCATATATAGAGAGTGAGGGCATGAGACATCAAGAAAATGAAATGGAAATTTTTAGGAGTAGAGGATAAAATTATACCAAGGTATATGAACTTTGTTGACCCAAGAACTGCAATCGAGTTAAGACAGAATGAGGAGAGAAGGTTCTGACTCAACCTGCTCCTTCACTAGATTGAGAAGGGTTTACACAAGGGTAGGGCCTCTCTGCCCCTGGAGACAGCTCAGCTGAGCCATCTCCTCTTGAGACTGGATGTTTCCTTTCTGCTGCTTTGATAACTCCTGGAGAAGAAGAGAAAAATAGACTGAGCATCTGAATGTTCCCTACCCCATGGGGCCAGAGCTTCTGGGGAAAGACCCCCCAATACCTGTTGCTGCCACAAGTTCTGCTTCCACGGCTCTTCCTTCCAGTTCTGGGTGGTGCAGGAACTGGCCTTGTTCAATGGATGTGGGGAGAACTGGTGGTGGGATTCACTGTGAATTCCGTTAAATGAGATACTGACCCCAACAGTATCCCTCTCTCTCCCATTTCCAAAAGTCTAAACTAAAAACAATAAACTCACCTTTCCTTGAATCAGATTCTGCAAACAGATGTTCACTTTTTGAATTTGGGCTAACTGGGGGCCGCCAGGCTCTGAGTGTAAATCTGTTAGAAAATTCTGAAGGAGGAGTTGGAGGCTGACAACATGCTGTCACTCGTATGTCATCACAGGCCACTCCTTTCCTCATATGGATCCCCTCATCTCGGTATCCTTCCAAGCAGTTGGAAAAATCCAGTACTCTCCATCTCTTTGACAATGCAATCCCCATCCCCCTCAAATAATATAATCCCCCTTTCCCCTGTTCTTTATGGATCTTCCCTATCCATCCCTACCCTATTGGAATAACCGAGGCCACTCCCCCACTCCATGGAGTGATCCAAATCATGTCCCTCTGAATGGAATGCAGACCAACCTCCTCCAGCACTAACAATGAACAGGACCTAACACTTGGTGGCATCCTGTCATTCCAATGTTGCCTCCAATTCATGATCCCTACGCATTAACTCTCCCCTTTCCAGAGTGGTCTCAGACCATGTCCACATACTTCCTGCTCCTTCCTCCCCGTCTCTACCGCACGGGGCAGTCCCTACCTCACCAAGGGCTCCCAGATGCAGCTGCTGTTGCTGTGCCTCCCTCAGATGGTCTTCACACCAGGCCCGGCCATGTTCCAGCAGCTCCAGGCCCTGCCACAGGGCATCCTGCTCTCTCTCCAGAGCCTGCATCCTCTGCAGCTGGGTCACACAAGAAGCAGAGGCTAACTTGTCCTACAGCAGGGCTGTGGCCATGGCCCATTGCATAACCCCTGGCTGGGTTCACTGGTTACTGAATGTAAGCCCAGACCGTCCACTGAGGACCTAGAGGTCAAGGGGAAAAGACCTTACTTCTGTGGGTCCCTGGAGTTGAGTAGAAATATAAAGGACAGATCTGAGGAAAGGGATCTCTTGTTGGGCTAGTACTTACCCAAAGAAAAAAGCTCTGGGCCCCGGGGTCTTCTCGGCTTGTTCCCAGTGGCAGCAGCAGAACTGTGTAGGGAGCCTGTGCCAGGGGCTGCCCACCAGAACCCTGGCTCCCCATGGCTCTGAGGTGAGGAAGGTGCAGCCACTCCCTCTGCTGTGGCCTGAGCTGGTCCCTCCCCTCAACCCCTCCCTCACACCCATTCTGCCTCTCTGGCCCCTTTCTGTGGTGTCTAAGGCTGAGGTGTTCATAGATAAGGGGGAAAACCATCTCTCTTGGACCCCTCTTTCATTTCTTTATTCTATTTTCACAGGGCCTTTCTTAAGTAGCTTTTTCTCAAGAAGTCTCCTGGGGAAGAATCTGAGGGTCTTCCCATAGCAGTGTCAATGTACTTTTAGTGAGGTAGGGCAGGTTCCTCTGTGGAATTCTGCTTGGTGCTTCATCTCTGTCCTATTCTCCTGTTCTGTTTTGGATTGCCTAAGGAAACAATAACATTATCCAAAATAAACTTTATTCCTAACATGAAACAAAATTTCTATGGAAATTGAGAACTCTGGGTCTAAAGAAGATAAGAAAACCAAAAAGGCATTGCAGCCCCTGGGTCTCAGGTAGTTGGGGAGGGCAGAGGAAGAACTCAGAGGATGGTGGTGGCAGCAGGCAACACTTCCTGACTCATGAAAATGTCCAAGTCCAGGCTGGGATCTTCCAAATCCAGTTTCAGAAACTTGTCCACTAATGTCTGGCAACTGAAGTGGGGGAGAGAATGGTGAGATTTATGGAAGAACAGTTAACTGAGTCCTTGAACAGAGGGAAAAGGCTGTGGCACAAGAAACCCATGACCTTGAAGATTTAGGAGTTTAAGGAAGAAGGAATGAGTCCTTGAAGGGCACAGTACTGAAAGAAGGCTTCCGAGGCTCTGTGAAGGGGAGAGGAGCTGCAGGAGAAGGCACGAAGAGACCAGGCCGAACACTCACTTTTGCATTTGGTTCTCCTTTAACAACTCCTTCACAGGCTTGATAGGTTTTCCACTGCGGATCAAGTCTGAGACCTAGGGACAGGAAGGAAGGTGGAAGGGGTGGGGAAGAGGAAATTAGGATCAGAAATCCTGTGGGCCCAGGAACCCAGGTGTCCAAGAGGAAGGGACCCCTGAGGCAGAGGTAGTTGGATGCCTGGATCTCTTCACCTCTTTGCCACGAGCAATGAGTTTTTCAGGAAGCCCTGCCTGGGCAGCCGTGTGGGAGGCATAGCTGGCATTGGCAACTCCTCCGCAAACCTGATAGAAGAAGACAAGGTCGTTCCCATCCTCACAGGTCTCCATGGTCTTAAAGAGAATAGAAGGGGGAAGCACATATCATTAATCCTGGCTTCCTACCCTGAAACCCTTGGCCAGTCCCTGTGGGAACTAATAAGAAGGGGAGTACTGGAGCCCCCACTCTAATGGAAGAGCCAGTCTCACTTCTGGGAAACACTCAAGGGAGCCCATAGGAACTATATTGATTTCCTCACCAAATACTGCACCAGGGGCCCTTGTGGCAACAGCTGTAGTTGAACAAGACTCAGAAAGTTGGTGGCCACAAAGATGTGGGGGCACATGGGTCCAAGCACCAGCCAGTGTCGGAGCACAGCAGCCAAAAGTGCAAGCCCATCCACCTGCAGAGGGAGGTGAGAGGATGTGAAACCCACCTTCCCCTCTGCTTGTGCCCTGGCCTTTCCCTCTCCCAACCTTTCTTTCTTTTCTGCCCACACATCCCTATTCTTTCCCCTCCATTTCCCCTCCTTAGTTCCTCATCAGTTTCTCCCCTCACCGTGTTGGTTCCCTTTCCGAATTCATCAATAAGGACCAGAGATCGCTCAGTGGCATTATTCACTGCTTTCGCCACCTGCTGGACAGGAGGTGGACAAGGAAAGTTTCATTAGCATTTGAAGCCTATTACTTACTAACCCTAGTCAGCCTGTGAAAGAGTTGTTTATATGTATCCACCCTACTGCACTACAAGTTCTGTCATGGTGAAATGCATGTTTAGTTCATCCTTTCATTGTCAAATGACTCACACAAAGCAAAGGTTCAATAAATGTTCATAGTGTTGTTTCTGACCTGGGTGCTCCCTGCCCCAAGTATTAAGGACATGCAACAGAAGGAATGCTTTCCTCAGATCAAATTCCTTCCCCATTATCCCTTTCCCTGATCCCACCTCCCTTTACTCCCTTTGACCTGGTTGAGGTCGATCATGAAGGTGGAGAGGCCAAGGGAGATGGATTCACAGCTATGAATTCTGGTGAAGATGGCATCTACTGCCCCAATTTCAGCCTCCTCTGCTGGTACAAAGCTGCCCACCAGGGCCATGAACGTGATCAAACCTACCTGAATAGGGGAGGAGACAGGATGTGGAGCCTCGTAGTGTGGGCTGAATAAAAAGCAAGGCTCAACTGAAGGCATGAATGATAGATCAAAGAAAGATGGACAAATGTAATAGAAGAAAAAATGTATAGAACACACTGTCCAGAATCAGCAAAGAGGTATGGGGAGTGGGTAGAGGCATACTTAGGAATGGCATGTACCTAGGTAGAGGGGAGTGAAGGAAGGTTAGGCCATGGAAATATCCATTAGAATATAGCTGTTCCTTAGCTAGAAAATGAGAACATGGAAGTAGAAGAGCAGAGAACCTCAGTTAGTTGGCAGGTGGGGGTGAAAAAGATATAGAAGATGCCCAAGGCCCAGGTTGTAGGGCTCCTTCTCACCTGTTTAAGGTATATGCTCTTTCCTGAGGAATTGGGTCCAGTGACGACTTTGACCCTGCCTTTGTCCCCACCACATTCTACAGAATTGGGCACAAAGGTTCGGGCACATAGTTCCATCAGAGGATGTCTGTAGTGGGTGGAGAGGTACCTTACATGGTCCATGGATCCAGACAAATGAACCCTCCAGAAGATGAGGTCTTTGCACACCTTTTATCTATGCCTCCAACCCCCTCTCCTCTCACCTGCCATTATGGATTCGTACCCCATGGAGCTGGGGGGAATAATGGGGCCTTGAGTAGCCATAGTCCCGGGCAGCACTGGCAAGAGCCAGCAGGGCGTCCAGGCGGGAGGCAAGGTCCAATACTCGGGTCAAGACAGCTGCCCTCGCCAGCACCTGGCACTGCAGCTGGTACATCAATAGGGTCTCCTGGTCTGGGAGTGGGTGAGGAAGGGAGCCAGGGGTCACTTCTAGGAGAAAGTGAAGGAGAGAGGCCCACAGAGGGTCCCGAAAGCAGGCATATAAATTCAGTCTGAGACTCCCAGAGACATTCAGAGAGGAATATGTAGAGTCAGAGTGAAAGAGAGGCTAAGAGCAGAAAGAAAAGGGCCTATTGGAAGCATTACGAAACTCCAGCTTCTTGGTTTCCTCACCCCGGATCTCACAGTGCAGGTCCCCAAGCAATGCATCCAGCTCCTTGGTTCGAGCACTGCGATAGTGCAGCTTCTCCTCTGAGAGAAACTGGGTACAAGGGTTAGAGCTGTGAGCTGTGCATCTCTTGGTCCTCCTCTCCTCTCCCACTTTTCTAGCTGTACCTACAGTGTTCTGACTTCTCTCTCCTTCATGTCATAACTTGTAGAGCTCAAAGTAAAACTACAAAGAAGAAGCTGGCACAATGGAGCACATATTGCTATAATCCTAGCAATTTTGGAGGCTGAGGCAGGAGTATTACAAATTTGAAGCCAGCCTGGGGAACTTACTGAGACCCTGTCTCAAACCAGAAAATAAAAAGGGGTAGGGATATAGCTCAATGGTATAGTATCCCTGGGTCCAACCCCCAAACCCCAGTACCAAAAAGAAAGGAAGGCAGGCAAAAACAAAAAACAAAAACACCACTACAGAGGAGAAATCTCATATTGGGCTGTGCTGATGGGGCAAAGCCCTCACCTAGCTGCTGCATTTTACACCTCCTACAGAAGTTAAGGGTCTTACCATGAAATCCAGTCCCTCAATTTCAAAGTCACCAGCCTCTACCATAGAAGGAAGGCGGGGAATAGAAAGAAGGAAGCCAATCTGGGGAAAATAAAGGACACAGAGCAGGAAGTGACCTACTGGACACCTTCTCTGCCTAGAGGAAGCCCCAAAACCCATGAAGGTATACCCCATGCCTCCCTTAGGAGGCTAAAGTCACCAAAAGGCTCATGATCTTCAGACTCCTCCCTCCAAGATTTCTTACCTACCAATATGTCTTTCATAAACCTAATATTTCCTCTAAAAGAGCCCTAGAGGCTACAGCCACCCTCCTTCCCTCACCAGAGGGATGTAGATGACACTGCATGATGGAATACGGGAGTCCAGATTCTCCAGCTCCTTCCGAGCAACTTCAGTGAGGAAACTGGGAAGACCCATCAGCCTTCGTTTTTCTAGGAGGGTGGAAGGCATGTAGATATTAAAAGTAAGGTCCCTGGGGCTGGGGTTGTGGCTCAGCGGTAGAGCGCTTGCCTAGCACGCAGGAGGCCCTGGGTTCGATCCTCAGCACCACATAAATACAAGTAAATAAAATAAAGGTATTGTGTCCAACTACAACTAAAAAATAAATATTAAAAAAAAAAAAAGTAAGGTCCCTGATCTGGCTGCTAGTTGTAGTGACCGTCTGTTGAGAATGATACCCCACTGATGGGCAGGCTTTATTTGGGGGCTAACAGGCCCATTCCCACACCCAACACTCACTCTCATCAATTTCAGGGTCTACATTGGGAAGAACTGTGAAACGATTTTCAGCAAGACTGCCCTCAAAGTCCACCTGTGAAAACAGATAAGGAGCTGTTTCTTATCACCTAGCACCATCTCTGTCCTGCTCTCCTTGGGCCCAATTCCTCCTATAATCCTATCTTAACCCTAACTCTCCAGACACTTTTCCTGATGTTCTGCCGCCTCCTCTGACCATCCAATTTTTTTTTTATTTTTTGTGGTGGTGATGATGGTATTGGAGATTGAGCCCAGAGCCTTGCACACTAAGCTACTTCTCTAGCCACCATTTTTTAAAATTTTATTTTGAGAGAAGGTCTCCCAGGCTGGCCTTGAATTTGTGATCCTTCTGCCTCAGCCTCCCTAAATAGTGGGATTACAGGCCTGTGTCACCACTCCAGGCTCACTATCCATCAGTCACCCAACACAATTCTTCAGTCACCCAACTGACCTCAACATCTCCCATGCTTCCCCATCTGCCATACTACATTCCCTAGACCCCACTCCTTTTCCATTCTCCAGCCCCATTCCTCTTCCCTCTCTCAATATGCCCTCTTTCCTTCCACTCACCACTTTGCCAATGAGGCTGGCAATGTGATGCAGGTCGTCAGAGAATTCTTGGGCAATGTCCCGAAAAAGCTGAATGG